GGGGGGGGGGGGGGGAAAGAGAGAGTAAGAAAGGGGGAAGGGAAAGAAGGCAATCACAAAACACCATTAGCAGAAAAAAATATTATATATATATTATTAGAATCAGCACATTCCATTGTAGAGTGGAGGTAACACAACAATTAAAATGAATTGGGCACATACAAAAAACTGCTACACAAAAATCAGTTATAGCACTGAATCTTAAGACATAGGACACTGGACATTAAGAAAGAGGTCCACCCAAGTCGTTTTCAATTCAGTGTTCAATTACTCTTCTTCCTGTGTGTACTCTGCTAGCATTACTACAGGAACCAAAGCAGAGCCCTGGTTCCTGTAATTTTAGCACAGTGCTTGAACAAGAAGGCGCACATACACTTCCAAACAGCCTTATAAAGTGACACCCACCTCTCTTTCAACATTAATGTAGAACTGTTTGATGCCCTCAAGGGTCAATTCTTCTTTTTTCACCAGAATACGTATAGGATCTCTCATGAATTTTTTGGTCACTTCCAACACATCCATTGGCATTGTGGCAGATAACAATACAACCTAAGGGTTTGAGAGAGATTCCTTCAATATTGGGAAAAGTCAGAAAGGCAAGCCAAATGAGAAGAGAGACTAAACTATTGCCATATATATTGGCACAGTATGAACTCGCAATGTATTCAGAGCAGGGGCGGGCAATTATTTTGGGCACTTACTGAGTTTTGGCAAGCCATCAAGGGCCGCATGAGAGGCAGACTATATTACATTTCCTAAACTTTTTTTTAGGGGCCCCGCAGGCCAGATAGAATGGCCTGGAGAGCTGCATCCAGACCACAGGCCACATTTTGCCCACCCCCGATTCAGAGGCACTTATGTATACATTTAGCTAGCATAAGTGAACTACCAAATCAGCTTAAAGTTCCATATCACCTGGGGGTACTACTAGTTTGCATCAACAGGAACACAAGACAAGGATAACAAGCAGTTTTCATTTGGACAAGAGAAACAGCAATACAGTACATATGCGCACTACAACTTAATCTGCATCTTTAAATATTAATTGTAAGTAATATTTTTTTTAACCTGTATATTTGTGCTTAGCTTTTGAAAAATCTCATAAATTTGATCCTTAAATCCACGGCTCAGCATCTCATCTGCTTCATCCAGAACAAACATCTTAATCCATTTAGGTGCTACAAGAAAGGGACAGAAGCATTTTACCAAACTTTGTATCAAAGAATGTTTACTGCATGCAACAGTGGACTATCACCATCTCTTCCCACGTGAGTAACCATCACATTAACTATTAAATGAATAGTATGAAGAATATTTAAATCAACAGCTATTAATCACTATCTCCCTTCCTGGATGAGTAATTCTTGCAAAGTTTTCAATTGCTCCTAAAGTTAAAGTCCAACCCAGGATCTACCATGCCCCAGCCTAGCAGATCAGTCTGTGGGGCAAGGAGGGAGCGGGGTCCCAGCCAGGTTGCAGGTTGGGTGGTGGGAGGGGTGAGGCAGGTGTCTTGTGTTCCATCCCAATTTGTATGTGGGGCTGAGGTAAATGTTGCTGTGCCCTGGGCTGAGCCTTGCCCCCTGCCCACCCAGCAGCAGGATGCACATGGCACTGTGCCACTCCCAGAGCAACTGCATCTGGTTGCAAAGCACAGCACCATCCACCTCCACCCTGTGCACAGATTGGGGGGGAAGGAAGCATGCCCCCCAGGCCTCTGGAGTGCTCAATCTGGCCCCCACCCCTTCCCCCACATGTGCACTCAGCCCCCCAGCCTCAGATCAACTGGCCATGTCTCCACAAATCAACCTGTTGATCGCTATGTAAAATGTATTGAGAAGTAGTATTTTAAAACTCAATTTCCACATGTGTATTGCTTTGAACACATTTATTTGAAAAGTGTGTTCTACACAATGTTTTGCATCATCAAATGACGCCATCAAAATGTTTACTTCTGCCTATATTCAGACATCCACTAGTAAATGCATCAACAAGAATAAATTCAGTACTTACAGAGATAGCGTCGGTTTAACATATCAAACACCCGCCCTGGAGTTCCAACTACAATGTGCGGAGCCTCTGCTTGAAGCTTCTGCATTTCATTGCGAACATTTGTGCCACCAATACAGGCATGGCACGTTGCACCCATATAATCTCCAAGGGCCAGAATTACCTTTTGGATCTAAAATAAAAGTCCTTAATTAAAGTTCATGACAATGACTTCAATACAAAAATCATTTAAATGTTTATGTTATTTAAAAATCAAACCAGTATGCTTGCTCAATCTGCCAACTGCCCATCAAGTAGCAGCTAACGTAACACCAGGTTTTGCTTTGTTAACAGGTTGGATTTTTTTAAGCTAACTTATTTTTCCTTGCCAACAGGCTAGCTAGTCAACTGTATGAAGTTACTCATCATTCAAAGGTCACAATCCAATGTGTCAACAAATCTTAAGAAGACTATGCTGTGTTGTGCATTAGGAGGCTAACTTCCATGTAGGTAATATGAAAGTGTTGTAAAATGCACAACTACACCCCATACCAACTTATTAAGCAATTATCAAACCCCCATAGCAACACCAAGTCATGTGCATACAATAACCCATGAAAATGCTCATACCCTGCTCCCAATGTAGTTTCACTTGATCACTGTCCGTCTTAATAGTGCAGAACTAAGACTAGTAAATATAAATTTGATCCAAAACCCAGAAACCTTAGGATTCTGGTGCCCTCATTTTATGAACTAGTAGGCCAAAGTATTTCTTGGCATTTGGGGTTTGAAGTCCTGTAATACCCTGGAACCTCCTAAGAGAGAAATCTTAACCATCATATTGGGCCCAGGTAAGTGAAAAATATTTCCACTTAGAGTGAAAAGCCAGTCACAGAGCAATCAGTTTTGGTTTCAAGTTCAGTATCTATGGTTTTACTTCTCAAATTTAACCTTTAAAATGATTGGATTTGCAAGTTCAATATAGCAAGGAGTTTGAAGCAGCTCCATTTCAAGTAAAATAAAGCACTGAGCCTTGAGGGTGAAGTAAACATGCAACATAGCATTAGTTGGATAAATACATCACAAACTACAAAAAAACAAACCAGTCACGTGCACTGCAGTTTTCATGTTGCACAACTGCACAGAAGTTTGCAAAAAGACTGTTTTCACTCAAAATCACTATTTTAATATCACATCTTTAAAGATCGTTTGCTATTTGCTGTAGAGCTATACAGCACAGCTGTTGCCCACCCCTCCTCCCAGTACCTTTCCAAAGAAATGACATCTGAACTCTTCACATGGGTAGAGAAAAGCTAGCGGGACAGAAAGCACATTTGCTTCCCCATTAAACTTGGTGGCAGACATTCTGGATGATAAAAGGTACAGACCCCATTAATGTCCCACACAGTTGTGAAACCTGAAACCTATGCAACACACAAGCAGCTTTTTAACTACACTATCAATACCTGTTGAGCCAGTTCTCTGGTAGGGGCCAATACTAGTGCCTGGGACTCCTTGAGATCAATCTCCAACTGCTGCAGGATGGAAATAGCAAATGTGGCTGTCTTGCCAGTACCTGACTGAGCTTGAGCAATCACATCATACCCTAAAAAGAGTAGGATACATATTTACTGCTCCCACACAAGTTAAACTTTTGAGTTTAATTTTATTCCTTTTGAAGTAAGTGATCAGCAAGTTAAGAAGTGTCTCCATTTCAGGTCAGTCCCGAAAGATGGTATACCATCATCTCACTTATTCAAATAAGGATATGTCATCGTGACCGATTAAAGATAGCTACATACGTGCTTAAAAATGACTCGGTTTAATGACAAACATGACTCCACATCAGGGAGGTAGATGCATGGACTCTCACATTGTTATCAAGGTGGTAGATACACGCTCGCCTACCTTTGATGCATGGAATAATAGCCCTCTGCTGAATAGCGGATGGCTTTTCAAAACCATAAGCATAAATGCCTCTGAGAAGAGACTCTTTTAAATTCATATCATCAAAATTGTCAACAATTTCATTCCAATTGCTCTGCAAAAGAGAGAAGTAAAAAAAAAAAAAAGCCATGTTACTCTGCTGCTCACATTGCTCCACGCAGGGGTTTGGTTTTAATCGGTGTCACGTGTGCTCACCTCGATGATGCCGTCGGGGTCCATTCCCTCCGGGCCGCCATGGTCTCTATTGGTAAACGGAAACAGTTAAAAACCCACTGACTTCTCACACAAAGCAGCAGCCAAGCCCGGCCTGCGATCGAGCCGGAGTTAGTGACAGATCTTTCTGGCAGGTGCTCGGGGGCCGTGCCAAGACACATCCTACTCGTCCCTATTACCTCGAGTCCCTTCCTTGCACTGGCTTCAGGGGCACTCGCAGCCCCGGCGCCATGGCAGAAGAGGGAGCCGCAGCCTGGCTTATAAGGGGGCGCGTTTTGCAGCACATACAGGGCCTGCACCTGCCAGGATACGGCCTTGCAAGGGCGGGAAGCGGCCATTGCGCATGGCCAGCGCCATCCACTGCAGCACCAGGGGTCCCCCCCCACCCCCGCGAACTCTCGCGAGAGCTCCACCCCCGGGATTGCGCAAATGGGCTCCGCCCTTTCCCCCCCCCCGGGCGGAATGGATTCGCCCTTAGCCGAGCCCGGGAACAGCCGGGACAAACCATCTCGGAGAAGGGGGGGGAGGGCGGAAGAGCCGATTTCTGTCTTGGCAGCCGTGCGCGAGGGGGGTTGTGAAGGGGAGAAATCGCCGCTCCAGCAAAGGGAGGGGAAAAAAAGGGACCTTGGATACAACGGGGGTAGGGAAGGACTAAGGCCGCCTACCTGCCGTAATCCACGGAGCCCCCGGACATGTTCTACTTCCGCCGCTGTCCTCAATTGAAAAGGCAGCGCCGACGCCGCGTCCGCCTTATATCCCCGCGCCGCGGCCGGAACTCGTTCCAGCGGACGGATACATCTCCCCCCACCCTGTCCCCGGCCATGAAATGACCCTTCTCTCCCTTCCTTCTATCCCATCTCCGCTGCTCCCGGTCGGCACTGTCCCCCGCAGTCGAGGCGCGGGCTCCTCCGGGGGTCTGATAAAGCTGGTGAGGCTAGAGGCGGGGGAGGGTGGGACTACTTTTTCTTCTCCCTACAC